ATATTGTATTGCGCCGAGGCCGTACGGTCACATTAAAAAGGCACAGACCGTCAAGCTCGCTGGATAAGAACAACCAAATAAAATCAATTCGTCTTTACGTATTCTTTAAATACTATGTTTGGCTCACAATTTGAAAGGTGTTGAGTTGAAAAATAATAATCGGGCTTTAAGTAGCAAGCTATTGAAAATAGCAAAAAACGCATTTTTTGAATGTTGTCGAATTTTTTACGGGAAAAGTATTGGGCTTAGGCATATGGTGTATGAAAACTTTGTTGTTCAAAATGAGCTAAAGAATAGGAAAAAAAATTTTTTTTCCAAAAAAATGAATAATTTTTGTTTGCTTATAAAATTTGTTGATAAAAAAAAGTTGTCCATCCTGATCGCGACCCACCATCGATAATCGTAATCAGCAGGCAAAAATACATTAAAAAAACTTTGGTGGGTCCGTTCTAATTAAAAAGGCCACGGGACCCTACCTGGTGCCTAAACTACAAATTCACTATACTCTTTTCACGCGTCTCCAAAGTATGTGCCTACATTTCCATTTCCGCACGAATCCATAGGCACACACTCGTCATATCCCTTCCACGCTTCTTAAATAAAATAAAAAAATTTGTGCGCCTGGTTCAACAACTTGGCTGCGACTGGGTGCTCGAAACAGTGGTCAAAAGTGAACTCGTGCCGTAGCATTGCAGTATGAAATCTCTCTACTAATCTCTGATTAAGGTGCAAAAATTTTTGTTACACGGATTCATACAAAAAATTATAGTAATTCTTAAAATGATAAGTCACATCTTAAAGCCAAAGCTACATGTGACGCTACATTCTAAATATCTTACCAACAAATTTATTTATTTTTTCATTTTTTATCATGTAGTATGGGAATAATTGTTACGAGACCAAAATATATATTCTTATTATTAATTTTAAAATTTGTAAAAATTAGTTATAAGCATGGGTAAATTTTAATATCCAATTATAAACAATCTTAGGACACGAATTGAAAGATAATTACAACTTTATAATTGAAAATAGTTATATGTCTGTTGTTAACCTTAATCTTAATCAGATACGGAGGATTTGGTCACGGGAGAATAGGATTGTAACACCAAGCTGACGGTGAGCCCAAGCAGCGGCGTTATTACATTTCTCCGCCCGTGGAGCGGCGGTGGGAAGCTCTCGTGGGTGTTACGAATGTAGTGGTTTTCTCACTACAGCTTCTATTTCCAAGTTCCACAGTTCAAACACACATGCTCTCACGAGGGTATCCCCGCCCCGGCTCCTCAAACGCCCGGGCTTCTCAACGCAACGAGGCCCCGCGCTTGCTCTCTTCGCCTACAGACCGGTGTGCGAGTAACACCTGCGGCAGAGCCTGTTTTCTGCTGCTGAGTCGGGACAGTTTTTCAAGCACATCATGCTATTCAATAATTATGTGCTGGCTCTCTGCTTTTGCTGCTTGGGATGTAATTCTTCTCGTCCTCGGCTTGGTGAGCCTAGTTTTACATTCAAGACAGTTCCTTTCTCTATAAATAAAAAATCAGCGTTATCTAGTTGTATTTAAACATTAATGTTCTTTCTTCCGCGCAACTTGACAATATTAAAGCGATGTAAATCGTATTTCTTTTGGATAAATGTAGTTTAATTCTTTTGCTAAAGTTATAGATGTTTGTTGATTTAAGATACGCATCTGACTTCTTATTTTGTCATTGCTTCCCTTTGGATAACCATTCATACCACAATACTAACTAAATCGTAATCCTGCTGACGCTCTCTACTCGAGACTTTCTTCAATAAGTTTCGAGTGACCTAAGCAGTTCATTAAACTAGATTATTTTACTTTTATGGTAGCCAAAATGAAAAAAAAGAATTTATTTGCCGTATACAATGCTTCGAACAAAAATTAACTGTACATACATGATGTCATATCAAATGCACGAATAGTAATTACCTTTTCTCGGGCAGTATGGTAAAAAAATTGGTTTTGCTCTGCATTACATGATGAACAATTAGTGCATGTATTGATTCATATATTATAGCAAATATTAAAGTACTTAGAATGCGCAAATCATAGGTAACACAAGTAGTATGTATAAGTCTACGTATTTCATGCACACCCATGCTTGAATATGTAATAGTAAAATTTTTACTTTTTTCATACTGGATTTTCAAAGACTTATAAAACTTAGGTGTAATCTAATTTTTTCAGTTTCTGTTTTATCGAGTTTATAAACATTTAAGGTGGACGTTCCACTTCTGCCGATGGTCCTGGACCGGATTTTTCGAACGAAGTTCTTTATGTCGCGTTACTCGGGGGGCTGAAATTTTAAAACCGACAGACTTTTTTTTTTGAATCAGAAATCTCTTCCTCTCAAGTTTCTCCCCTTACCCCGTCCCCCCACCAACTGTTCTCTACACACTTCCCCTCTCCTCACTATATATGTATATCTGTCAACCGTGCCGTGTTACTCTTCTGCACACCTTTACCCACCATTCCCGCTCACACTCCCAAGCAATTAAGTTTTTAACAAATTTTAATTTTTTTTTTCCCACAGTAATTTTTCTTTGACTTTGAATTTATTTCTTTTACAATTCTAAAAAAAAAAAAAAAAAAAAAAAAAAAAAAAAAAAAAAAAAAAAAAAAAAAAAA